TCAGAATCTCAGGATGATATGAACAAGAGCACAGCTGATTATGTGTTTTGGAAAATGAATCCTGGTAGTGCGAGACAAAGAGGAATAGAAGGGGGGAAATAAAAATGAAGGGGATGAGGTCAAAGGTCATTTGTTCCTGATGAAATACAAAGCACTATAGTTGAGCATACTCTTCTGCATGGACTGACCGTGAGGGAAGTTAGCCTACAGCTCATCTACAGGGTTTCAATACTACTTACATATACAATATAATTACAGTACATAGCAGCAGCACTTCTGAGAGAAGTTACATGAGAGAACGTTCATTATTCTATGTACAGTAAATACTGTAGTACATGTTGTACACCGTCAAACTCATTACTGTTGGATTGATTTGTAGCCAAGTATGTACTGTATTTGTGCAGAACTGAGAGACGGCTGTCTCGGCGAGGTAGAGAAGTCTTTTATCAGAAGACTTAAAAACTGCTATAACAAATAAGGATACTACCAATACTGTAATGCAATTTGGCAGAGGATGCTGAATGAATGAATGAATTTATTTATTTATTTATTTTTACAGTAACTGACAGTATATTCCAATGTGTGTTTACTGTATATTCAGTTGTTTGGTCTTTGAACGTTTCTCTTCTATTGCTTTTCATCTTCTGTAAGATCTCTTGAAAGTAAACTTTTCTTACAGTTTAATGCTGAATTTTACTGTATCTGCATCCCTCTATTTATGTCGTATACTGTAACAGACATTGACTAGCAAAAGGATTCCTATTTCCCAAAAGCAGGTTTTTGTAACAGTGTTGAGTTGATCTCACTAGTGTTCTCGAGGCAGTGAAGCAGTGTGTATTTGACAGGTTTGTGTGTCATCTGAGGCCAAAGTTTGATTCTGACAAAAGAGAACATGTTTTTGACTAAACTATTTGATTTTGAAGTTGAACGTTTCTCTTCTATTGCTTTTCATCGTCTGTAAGATCTCTTGAAAGTAAACTTTTCTTACAGTTTAATGCTGAATTTTACTGTATCTGCATCCCTCTATTTATGTCGTATACTGTAACAGACATTGACTAGCAAAAGGATTCCTATTTCCTAAAAGCAGGTTTTTGTAACAGTGTTGAGTTGATCTCACTAGTGTTCTCGAGGCAGTGAAGCAGTGAGTATTTGACAGGTTTGTGTGTCATCTGAGGCCAAAGTTTGATTCTGACAAAAGAGAACATGTTTTTGACTAAACTATTTGATTTTGAAGTTTGCACAAGTTGGTGTGTAGTTTTGAGATTGTGTTTATAGTTGTGAGAAAATGGTGAATTGTTTCATGAATTGTGTGTTAGCAATCGAGAAAAACTGTATTATTCTAAACTTTTCATTAACTTCTGTAGGCTGTGCAGCAAAGGAGTTGCTTTTTCTGCAGAAAGCTGAACTCTGCTGATGTGTCCGTTATTTTATCGATCATTTCTTGGTAAACCGTGAGAGACCTGATGAGCTTAATGATTTCTGTCATCAGTGGGTTCCCGACCACTGCTCTATAGATTCATTTTTAATATAATGATAAGAAGTAGACAGTGAGTAAATGCACAATGTGTGTGTGTGTGTACCTGTGTGTGTGTGTGTACCTGTGTGTGTGTGTGTACCTGTGTGTGTGTGTGTACCTGTGTGTGTGTGTGTACCTGTGTGTGTGTGTGTACCTGTGTGTGTGTGTGTACCTGTGTGTGTGTGTGTACCTGTGTGTGTGTGTGTACCTGTGTGTGTGTGTGTACCTGTGTGTGTGTGTGTACCTGTGTGTGTGTGTGTACCTGTGTGTGTGTGTGTACCTGTGTGTGTGTGTGTGTGTGTGTGTTCAGTGATGCTGTTCCCCGAGGCGTGGGGCCGCAGTCAGTGTCGTTCTCTGGACCGGATGGTGGAGGTGGAGCAGGAGTATCCCGGAGGAGTGGAGCACATCTACAGTCCCGGCTGCGTGCCGCTGCTGCGCTGCTCCAGATGCTGCAATGACGACAAACTAGCGTGTGTGTGTGTGTGTGAGTGAGTGTGTATATATATTGTTAGTTTTATAGATTTTATAACAATATAAAAATATAAATAAAAAACTATATATATTTATTTATTAATTATTATTAACCATAAAAAAAATTGTTACTTGAAATAAAACAAACTTTATCTGAAATAAAAAATATATATTAAAAAACATTTTATTTCAGCTAGTTGCCAAGGCAACATTTCTATTATTTTTTTGTTTGTTTAATCTGGTGTACAAAAATAACTAAAACTGAAATAAAAATTCATAAAAACTGTATGGACATTTAAAACTAATGAAAATGACAAAACACACAACAAAATTACTAAAACTTTAACTAAAATTCAAACGAAAAAATAAAATTTAAAAAATCCAAATATTATTAAAACCATATAGACTGATATTTTATGGTGTTTTGATCATTTTGGAGCTTTACATATTCGGTCACTGAACTGTTGTGAAATGGAAAAAAGCTGCGTGAGAATCTTCCCTAAAATTCTATCTTTTATAGAACTTTTTTTTATTAAAAAGGTTTTTGTAGCTATTTATTTATTCTGTTTATTTTGGGATGAGCTATTACTTTATGCTTTAATGTTGAATGCTCTGTGTTTTTGATCAGCTGTTGAGAATAACTCCGGCCGAGAGGAGCCGAGAATACGTGCTTCTGTCCTTTCAGGAGCACCAGAGCTGTGAGTGCAGGTACGGCTGACACACGCCTGTCATTTCACTGCTCTGCACTTTCAGCTCGCTTTATATTTACTCATCTAACTTTTTCCCTGACATTCAGGCCCAGACGACACCACCTGAGACATCAGCAGTGAGTATTTATCGATGAGAGTTCCGGTGCTTGATTCTGATTGGCTGAGCCGCGTTCGAAGCTGTTGTAAATGACTCTACAAAGTAACATACATCTTTGTTTATGTTTGTGTGTTGCTCGGCAACCACTTTGTTACAACCACAACTGTTTCTGAGGAACTACATTGTTTGGTGGAAGAATACTGTTTTTATTAATATCATTACACTTTATTTGCTCTGTTTTATTTTGTGAAACCGTACTACGTATATGGAATAACCGTTTTATAAAAGCAATAAGCCCCGTGAAGCCTTCTTGCATAGGGCTTATTGCTTTATTCTTGCATGTAAATGACAGAAGTAAAGGATGTGAATGTTGTTCTCTAGCAGAAGGAGGCGGAAGGGCAAACGCAGGAGGAGACGGAGAGGGAGGACAGACGGGGATTGAGACGCTGCCGGGGGTCAGGTGACTCTCTGCTGCCCCCTGCAGAGACACACTCACATCACCGCTGCTCATGTGTGTCTCTGCAGTTTGTTTTTACTAGCACATGAAACCCCTGCAGTGCGCCATCTATTTATATCAACTGTAAATTATGACTCATAAACAATTAAGGCGTACACCTGTGCATTCAGCTCAAATACGAAAGCTGTAAATAATGCACTAAAACATTCTGCTAGAATAGATTTGACATCATTAATCATCTTCTAAGCTCTCAACCATCACAGCAGATGTAGTTATATTCACCGCTACAGGGAACTACAGTGTTTGTAGAGGCATTAATATTATACATATATTATTTTATATATAAATAATAATACTACTAATTACATATTTTGTTTATTATTTTTATTTATTATTTATTATTATTTTTAATGGTTTTTAATATGTATTTATATACAAAATATTTATTATTATTTATGTATTTTATCATATTTATATACAAAAATATGGTGGTGTTGTTATTATTATTATTATTTATATTATTAATTAATTAATTAATATATATATTTTTTTTAATTGTGCATATTTATATTCATCCCTATATTTTATTATATTCACTTACTGTAGTAGGTGTCTGTAGGGTCACAAAACCCACATTTTATACATTTTTATTTAATAATATTGTGGGTTTAGTGCCTCTAAACCCATGTGCATGTATGTTTATAACTAATATATATTTTTAATGCCCTGCTGTAGATGTGATGATCACTGTGGCAGATAGGCACCGACCCTCTTCATTCATCACACAAGCACTTCTGGACATTAGTGTGGTCAGTCTGACCCGAGCCGGATCAGGATCAGCACACAACCTGCTGTGGCTTCCAGCCATCAGTACATATGTGTGTCACACTGACTGTAATGAGATCACAGACTGTCAGTGAGAAATGTGCTGCTGAACTGAAGGAGAGGCATGTATCGGGGAATACCTCAGTGCTGGGAAATTTGGAATAAAAATATAAAGAAGCAACTGGGTCTTGCAATGCAATGCATGCTCATATCCCCATCATATGTGTCTTAATATATTTTATAAAACAATAAACTCACAGTATTTAAAGAAATAAGTGCTATTTGTTTTATTTCATCCAAAGCGACTTTCTCTTATAAAAATAATTTCTCCAAGTCTCCAGGGTAAATTAAGGTATTATTAGTGTTACATAACACATCTGACAAGAGAATATTTTACTTTTCGTCACGCCCGAGAGTCACGTTTTTATGCTTTATTGGTGTTTTGCGTCACTGGCCAATGCGAGGCGAGCGTGGAGAATGACGCGAACCACTTCCGCCAACAGACCCGCCCACTTTTTTACCATAAAAGGAAAGCCCGTAAACAAAAGCGCTTTCCCCGATAAGCCCCGCCTCCTGCGCCAAAGATTGGCCGGTCGGAACGATGTAGTCGCCTGCGATTGGATTAGACCCAAGTCAATCACGTAGCCGTTAGCAACCACCAGAGCGACGAAGAATCCAACGTAAATATAGCGAATGAATAACACGAACAAGCGCCGTTGTAAGTTTAACGTAAACGTTATTTAGCTAGTCAGATGAATATTAGCGCATTAATGTGTCTCGCTAATGTTAGACGTCAGTCGGGGGGGGGCGGGGCTTATGGGGAATCGCGCTCCGGTCTCGTGTACAGCACCGTGTTGCCGTCAATGCCGTGACGGGAACGACCAGGGCGTCTGACCGACTACACGCAGCCAGAACGCGGTAAGACGCTGCCGAACGATCACCGAACACTGTTATAAGGCGCTCGGATCTCAGCGTGTTTTCATCATCTCTGGGGATTCCCGGTTCCCGGATGAAGTCACGGCGCGCACGTAAGCTGTCACGAGCGGCTTTCCGCGCGTTCTGAACGGATGAACGTTTCTCAACGCGCGTCGGATAAAACGTTCGCGTGCTGTTGAGGAGAAACTAAACGGCAGCCCTGCTTTTAACGACGCTTTGCTTTGGCCCGTATCGCGATGTCGTTTCAGCTCGACGTTTAGACACGAAACTGTTTTATTTATTTATTTTTACGTACTAGCGCGATAACCTGTCCGGTAGGCCGTCTGGCGATCCGGAGCTGCTGGGTCGGCTGCGACGTCATACCTGACCCGATGACGTCATGACGCTCGGTTTACAATAACAACGATCAGAATATCGTTAATAATACACAATAATGCAATTTGCTTGAATAATTACTGTTTTTTAAAAAAATGATTTGTTTAATGTTTGTAGAAACAGTAATATGATTACAGATAAGCTTTCGGCAGGTGATCAGCATGTTATTTTAGTATCTCTGAGATACTAGTATAGTTTTTATTAATGTTTTGATTTAGTTTTTATTTTTGCATTTTAATTTTACTAGGTTTTTTTTGTTGTTTTTAATAGTTTTTGTGTACTTTTATTATTATTATTTTTAATTCCAACATAGTTATTTTTTTTCAGGTTTAGTATAGAACAATTTCGTTGTTTGCAAACATTGATGACGTTTTTTTTGTTGTTGTTGTTTTTTGACGTTTTTTTTCAGCCTAGCTGGTGGCAGAAAATGACAGTTTTAAAGTAGCGGTTTATGTAAGCCATTGAATAAAAGAATAAAAAAGGTAATTTTGAGTTTGTATTTCCAAATTCTGAATATTTTCTCGCAATTCCGAGACTATATCTCACAATTCTGACAAGAAAAATCAACTGGTCATTCTCTCTTTTTCCCCCTCGGCTCAGAATCATGAGTTTATAATCCCACACCTCCGGCTTTTTTTCCCCTCAGAATTGACAAACTTACAATGGTTGAGTTAAATCGAGTTATAAAGTCCGAACTAGGAGATAAACTTGCATTTGCGAGAAAAAAAGTCAGAATTGGTAGATAAAAGAGGTAAATGTTATAGGTTTAAATAGTAGGCTATTTCATGCTGTAACTGTAGGGCTAATAAAATATGACCCCTATGAGCTGCATATGTGAATATTATATAGACTTATTGTTTAAATCAAATTTATGCTTTAAAAGTAGGGTGATCACAGCAGGTTCAAACGTCTGCGTTTAGCTTCAAGTGGCGTCTTTGACGACAGTATTCTATAAAAATGATTTGCATTCAGATTCTGACATCCAAAGGCACAACAATACAGTTTTCTCTCTTATTCCATGGATTTGACCCGTTTCCCTCCGCTTGTTCCCAGTGTTTTTCTGCCACTGTTTTTCTGACGTAACTGTGATGTCTCCTCCGAATTGGTCTATTAGTTATTTTAGTACTTCAAATTAAACTATATAAAAAAAGTTAGTCAAGACAAACTTTAGGTTGGCTTGAGAAAGCCTAGCCTGAAAGTTTAAAGCAGTTGTAAAAGCCTGAGGTTTGAAAATTTAGATAGATGTTGATAACATGTTTCTAGCATGATTAGCATGTTTTTAGCATGATTAGCCTGTTACTAGTATATTGCTGGCATGATTACCATGTTGCTAGCATGATTAGCAAGTAACTAGCATGTTGCTAGCATGATTAGCAAGTAACTAGCATGTTGCTAGCATGATTAGCAAGTAACTAGCATGTTGCTAGCATGATTAGCAAGTAACTAGCATGTTGCTAGCATGATTAGCAAGTGACTACCATGTTACTAGCATGACTAGCGAGTGACTAGCATGTCGCTAGCATGATTAGCAAGTTACTAGCATGTTTCTAGCATGATTAGCATG